CACACCAAGGAGAGTCTCCCGCAGGGCACATCCCCCCTTGCAAACCAGGGACCGCCTCTGATGCCATCGGCAGCCCTCTATGGCCTCTGATGTGTCCCTGTCCCTGGACTGACAATGAGCAATGACCCCACTGGCTTGGCCTGGGAACACATTGGCCTGCCCTGGGCCAGCCATGCCCACAGTGCATCTGGCTGAGTGAATGCTGCAGCTCGGCCAGAAGGGGGCAGTGAGTCGTCCCAGTAAGGGGCTCTCTATACAACGAGTCCCTTCCTCTCTATGATTACCGTGTTAGACCGAGGCTACAGCCTCGGCCGTGTGGGGTGGGCAGAATGGGCGGGTCTCGGTGTGCCGACGGGGATTGTAGTTTCCTGAGGCCTCACCTCCCCGGTACTGTGAAAGGTGATGGCGCCGACGGAGGACTACAAATCCCAGAATGCACCAGGCAGCAGGAAGGCATGTCACGTGATGAGCAAAATGGCTTCCTAGTGTCAGATGGGGTTTAAGCCTTCGGGTGAGAGGGGCTTGTGAGCGCAGCCGGCCTGCGGGCCTGAGCTGCGCGAAGTGGGGCGGAGATGCAGAAAATCAAGTCACTGATGGCTCGCCAGGTAAGGGGTAAGGGGTAACGGGGCGGGGCGTGAGGGGCACAGGAGTGGGGGATGGAGGGATGCGTGTGAGACCCAGCTCCGGGTGTGTGGGTGAAGGAAGGGCACAGTTGGGGGCCGTGTGACAGTGGACGGGGCTGCTGAGCTGGGGGTGTGGCGTGGTCACAGGTTGCTCCCCAGGGGACTGTATGGGAGTGTTGCAAAAAGGGATTGCGGCCCTTCTACGGGGTAGCGGCGGTGGGTGGTGGGATGAGGCTTTAGGGTGACTGTGTGCTGGGCTGAGGAAGTGGTGCCCTCAGTCTCTACATGGGGATTGCAACACGTGTGTATCCGAGAGTATAGAGGCCCACGATGTCTGAACAAGGAACACCAATGTGTGTTATATTGGGGCTAAAGTGGGGTGCTGGAAAAACCATGAGTTTCAGTGGCACTTGAGAAGAGAGAAGGTTTAATGTGCCTCAGAGGTAGGCATATGTACCCAATTTTTGCCTTTATTAGCACTTTGAACTCCAAATAAATTTCAAAATATGAGAGGTCATTAAATGGTTTATTTTGTCCTGTTGTTTGTTTCTTTTTTATGGTACAGATCACAAGGTGTCCTTCGAGTTCCCTTGCTCTAGGGCAGTTTTACCTTAAAACTTTTTCTTCTTCTAATGTGGTTTTGTTTCCTAGTGAACATAAGTGTTCCCCCCCCCCCCCCAAAAAGGGGGGGGAAGCAGGTTATGGCAGTATTTTGAAGTAGTATTGGAAGCATTTATATTAGAGCACATTGAAACAACTCTTGATAGGCACTTGAAAACCTTGTTCCAGTATTTTGAGTCTGTTACCCTTCTTTACTTTCTATTGATTATTGTTATAGTTCAGACAGTCTAATGCCCATTGTAGTCTGCTTGTTCAAAGGTCTGTTTTTTTTTAAATAGATATTTAAGTCAGGTAAAAATCTCTGGAAATTAGGCCACTTTTACCTGTGTGCCTAACTTTATCTCTGTGCCTAATAAATTTGAAAAATATGGTTTGTCACAAAAATCAAAGGGTTCTAGATAACTAATTGTCAAAAAAATCTGTGAACTGTAGAAGATTATATGGGGGAAGGGCAGTATTATATTCAGGCTTGTAGTTCAGGTTTCTCAAAACTGTAGTGGAGACAGCTTTCAATAAGTATCTGGGATATTATTCGAGCCCCAGAAGTAATGATCTGGTGAGAAACCCAGCTCCCCTCACACACACAGATATTGGGAATGGGGTGGATGCTGGATTTTACTGGAGTCATTATTGCTTCTTGAGGGCTCCATATTAGATCACTCTGCTAGTAGGCATCTGATCAATTTGAAGTCTCTTTCCCGCTGAGAGTTTCCTGTCCATAATCCCGCATGCAATCCAGCTCACTGCTGTGAATGAGGTGGTGGAGACCTCTCTTATTCTGTTCCAGCACCAGGCTACTGGCAGTTTAGGGGAGACTCTCCCTTCTGCATTCCTTCTCCTAGCTCCATTTTCCCCCAGGTCTTTTCTATGACTAGCTCCTTTGCCTTTAATCTAATCCTAGATTTTAGTAGTAGCAGAGTGAAACTGACATACGTGACTATTGTCGGGGCTCTCAATACCAGAGGTAAAAAATCAGTCTTGTTGATTTCAGTCTATTGTTGCTTTGGAGATGCTTTGGGTGGCCATAGAGAAGCTGAAGCTGTTTGTGTGCAAACTCAGGAAGACAGCAATGAATTAACCTTCAAAGCATGAATCATCTTCTAAACGTATAAGCAAGGAACTCCCCATAAAGTTTAAATTCTCTAGAAATTAATGGCTTGGGCTCCTCCTATGCCACTCACCTATAAAGTTTTTCTTTCCCCGGTGAGTGGATTTTTCAAACTGGGTCCAGAGTTGTTCAGTAACTAAATTAAAGCAAGAAGACATGTAGAGAATGGTTTGATATCAAAAGCAATGCAAGGGAACTTTCTTAAAACATACACATTAAGAATGGTGAGAATATGAAGTAATTCTACAAAAAATATTCAGTTCATTGGAGTGGGTAGAATCTTAGTTCAGTGTGGGAAAGCTTAGTTTCAGAATTACTTTAAAATTCTTAGTCCTGGGGCCAGGAATGATGTGATCCAGTGGTGCCCAACCTTATTACACAGGAGGGCCGTATAAACCTAAGCACAACCTTGTGTGGGCCACCTAGATGTTACATATTTTAATAAGATTTAAAGTCCCCTGTATTGATTTTATAAGGCTGTTTCCATGTACAGTATTGTCTGTTTACACACTTGTGTAAACTAAAATGATGTAAACATGACAAAATGCTAATGAATTGGCTGTTGGTATATTGTGTTGATGTAGGCTGCGGGCCTTATGAAATGCTCTGTGTATGGCCTGCGGGTCATAGGTTGGGCACCCCTCATGTAATCAATACCACTTTTCAATCTTTGGGAAAGCTTTGGGTTCATTTAACATTCAATAAGAACTTCCTCATGGTGTCATACTCCAGGGGTTCTCAACCTTTTTCTTTTTGAGGCCCCCAACGTGCTATAAAAACTCCACGGCCCACCTGTGCCACAACTACTGTTTTTCTGCATATAAAAGCCAGGGCTAGTGTTAAGTGGTAGCAATCGGGGAAATTGCTGGGGACCCCATGCCACAGGGTGCCCTGCAAAGTGTAGTTGCTCAGGCTTCGGTGTCAGCCCCGGATAGCAGGGCGTGGGGCCCTGTGCTTCAGTCCCATACGGCCAGGCTTCATCTTTCTGCCCTGGGTCCCAGCAAGTCTAATGCCGGCCCTGCTTGGCGGACCCCCTGAAACCAGCTTGTGTCCCCCCACCCCCGGCTTCCCAGATCCCTGGTTGAGAACCACTGTGATACACTGTAAGTGCTGCTAAAAATAACGATGGGGTAAAATGGATATCTGAATTTCTTATTTTTCAGCTACCATTTTGGGTTGCTTGATATTTTGAGTCTTGGCCTCATTGAGGTGGTGAATGCTTTTGGTTGGTGAGGGCAATTGAGGTGGAGGATGTGTTTGGATTTCCAAAGTTCATAATAAAATTGATGTTTTTTCAACCTGGAAGGTGAAACACTTTAAAAATATAGTGAGTAGAAAAATGATGCCCTTAGCAAAAATCATCTGTTTACTCCCTGCCAGAGACTTCATCAGTGTCAAATTTGTCTGCTTAAAATGAAAATGAGATTTTTCTCATTGCAAACTCATACTTAAGCATTTTTCAGCATTATTAGAAATTATGTAATATTAGTTAGCATTTATACAATGCTTTTCATTTGAGGGTCTCAAAGAACTTCACAAAGACCCCTTTAACAGATGGAAAAACTGAAGCACAGACATTAAATGCCTGACTTTCAGAGAGTTTCAGGACTCGTATCTCTGGTACAAGTCAATGGGAGTTTTGGGAGATAAGTATGTCTGAAACTCGGCCCTACGTGACTTGGCTGAGGCCTCAGAGGCAGCTGGTGTCAGAGCCATGTTTAAAACTTGGGAGTTCCTTGCTCTCAGTCTTGTGCAAGCACTGTTAGAATTTATACATGCAGAATAACAGAATTCGATTTGCTTTTCTGTCTCCATGTTGCCTCTGTGTTTCTGACAAAAAACTAGCTTTTGCTATTATCAGAAAGTTAACCAGGCCTGATTCAGAAGACACGTTGGGAACAGATACGTGCCGTCAGTGTGCCTTTTAGACTGTCACATTTTAAAATGATTAACATGCTTAACATTTAATAAACTTTTATGTGTTAGTTGGCTGGATGATACAGCCTGTATCCTATATCAAATCTCGGCATCATAAGAACATCATCTGTTTTCATGATTAAAATTCTTTGAAAGAAACAATAATTACATAATTGCTAAAATTTGGAGTGTACTGTTTTTTCCCCCCCCGCTAATAAATATAAAGGGAAAAGTTTAACAGTTTTATGTGGTAAATAGTTAAGTGTTCCATTATACAGAAATGACAATTATGCTACAGAAGAGGTGGCACTTAATTTGAATTAAATTTTTTTGATGCCATTAACTCATCAAACTAGCAGAATAGGGTACATTATGTTTTGAGTTGCATTTACCTTTTAAACACTGAATAACAGATGTGGGAGTTGACAAGATGGTACAATAGAAAGTAAGTATTAATTGTAAAGAAATGCTAATCTCTTTGCTGTTCATGAATTTGACTGATGTGGTGCAGGCTCTGGTTCCAAACCTGCAAATACTTTGAATAAATTACCCATGTTATTAGTCCCACTGAAATATTTGACATGATGCAGGTTATGGCCCCAATCCTGTAATCATGTTTGTTAAAGCTATTGTATTTACATTTTTCCCTACAAATAAGATTCTTAACATGGTTTAATTGCAAGATGTATAGAATTGACTAGCTTAACTAACTGTTACATTTCTTTTTTAAGGGTCTCAAAAGTCCACAGGAGAACGTTCATGACCTCAGTCCTGTTGAGAATTTTCGGATTCCTAGCAAGGTGTGACCCACAGATATTCTTTTGGTTCTTGTTTGTTTTAAAGTTTCTGGATTTTTTTTTAACATAGTAGGCACCTCTTTTCTTTTTCCCATCTGTTTGGGAAATGTTTGTGTTGGAGAAGTTTTTTTTCTTTTCCACAAGCTGAATGAGTGAGTTCTGCAAAAGGTCTAGTATCCGGGGGTGAGAATGTGTACTGAGTCAAAATTTAGATGAGCCTTCTTGGAACGCAACAATTCTCATATTGTTTACTGCTCTTAATCCCAGGTGGTCTTCCTATGGGTACGTCTACACTTACCTCCGGGTCCGGCGGCAGGCAATCGATGTTCTGGGATCGATTTATCGCGTCTGGTCTAGACGCGATAAATCGATCCTGGATCGATCCCGGAAGTGCTCGCCGTCGACGCCGGTACTCCAGCTCGGCGAGAGGAGTACGCGGCATCGACAGGGGAGCCTCCCTGCCGCGTCTGGACCCGCGGTAAGTTTGGACTAAGGTACTTTGAATTCAGCTACGTTAACATAGCTGAATTTGCGTACCTTAGTCCGAAGTGGGGGGTTAGTGTGGACCGGGCCTAAGAGACTAAAATTTACAAAAGCCATACTCTCTCCCTCATTGGAAAGTACAGCATGCACCTCTGCCCTCTGTGTTCAGCCTCTTTATCGTTTATACCATAAGTATAGTCCTCATAGTTGGACATTTTTAATCATAATATTTTGCAGTTATGTCAACAGATAAGTGGCACAATTACTAGAGGTATATAATGATCCCAGAAAAGCAAATTGCTCTGTCTCACTGCACAGGTAATGTCAATTGCTGATAAATACAGAAAACATGCTGCTGTCTTGACAATCATGCGAAAAGGTGGGGCTTAATTCTCAATACATCTTCCAAGTGTTGGTGCCAAGATTTGCTGTGTCCATTGCCCCACTGATTTTACTAACATGCTTGAACCTGGCATGATCTGTGGTAAATGATGTCATAGCTCAGTCATTTTGGCTTTAACCTATGAGTTATAAAAATTACTGTCTACAGCTTCTGAACATACACAAAAGTACCTTTTATAATACAATGCTTGTGTTGAGGGAAATGAGAAAATAAATCACATAAAATAAAAATATTCCCAAAGGAAATAAAATGTAATACCCCATATCTTTAGTGTCTTTCATAACATCTGAACTGATGCATAACATATCTTCTAGTGGTATGCATGCATTAATTCCACGGAGTATGTACATTAAATGACCTCAAAAGTACTGTCTCACCTCCATGGTCCAATTTTTAATTATACAAATTCCTTCTACCCACTAAGTTACAGTTTCGAGGTGTCAAATTTAAAATAGTCTTTTTTGCCAAGTCAGTATTTTCAGCTAAGAATTACCCCAGGGCTACTTTTATCTTGTGTTTTTGTTACATACAATATCAAGCTATTATACTTCTGTATGGTAGTTATGTCTTGAAACATTCACAATGGCAAAACAAGCTAATTTTAATTATCTAGTGTTTTAGCTCAGGCATTTATAGTGAAGTAAGAAACGTGACAATCATTCACTATCTTACCTGTTTGGGACCTGATTCTGCAATTCTTCCATGAGCAGAATCCCATCAAAGTTAACGGGAATTCTGCACTCAAATTTACTAACAGACTTTATTTGCATTATTGTTAAAATGTGAGACTTGATTTTTTCAGAGATGCGAAGTATCTGCAACTTTCCTAGAAATCATAGTGATTGCGGATGGTCAGCACCTCTGAAAATAAAACTGTTGGTCTTTCCTGTGTTGCTAGTGTAAAACTTTGAAAAATGTCTCTTCTTCCAATGAAACCTTTTTATTAATATCTTCAGGTGAGTGAGTTTCTAAATGACTTGTTATGGGTATATTTTTAAGTCAGTGATAAATACAAATTAGCTTCTTAAATAGATTGCTGTAATCCTTTCCTACCAAAGATTGTGTATGAGGTTTTATTGAGGCGCTCAGATAAATGAGGAACAAGTTAAAATCTGAATTTATTATAAGATTCTCTTGACCAGCTATGCTATACCTGGCACAATACCTAGGTGTGGGCTCTAAGCAGTCTAGTGTAGCAGCTTTATGGGTTCACATTTTTGTTTTTAAGGAAAGGTTTTATAATAGTCATAGCTGAAAGAGATAGAACCCCACCCCCAGACTGGACAAAACATGGGGTTAACATTCCTACTTTTCTGGATGTGTAAATTATGGTTTTCTGTTTGGTAAACCGGAATTGCTTTGGCCTTGACTATGTGAATGACAGTAATGGAGAGCAATTTTCAGTAAAAATAAGATAGTTCAGTTGGTCAAAGTTTTGGATTTCCCCCCTTCTGAGTTCCTATCTGATTGCATATGCCAAGAGGTACAGGATAGCCAATGTGTTTGGGACTGATAGTGCATTTGTTGCCATAGCAACACACAGATGTCACAAACAGGATTGATATACTGTATATACTTGATCATAAATTGGTTCGTTTATAAGCTGACCCCCACCAATATGGATAAGTAAAAATGGAAAATTTTTATAACCCGTTCATAAGCCGACCCTATAATTCAGGGGTCAGCAAACTTTGGCTCCCGGGTGATCAGAATAAGCCACTGGTGGGTTGAGATGGTTTGTTTACCTCGAGCGTCTGCAGGCACGGAGGTAAACCTAAGTAAACAAAGTGTCCCGGCGTGCCAGCTGCTTACCCTGACGGGCGGGGACAGCAACTGGTGGGGAAATTCTTTTGGCGGGCAGAAGCTGGGAGTCAGGGGAGTAACCCCTGTGACCACCCCGCACATGACCCCACCCCTAGCCCGGGACTCCCACACTCTCCCCATCCCATCCCTTCCCACCTTATCTGGGGAGGCCCTGGGGAGGATCTCTGGCCTGGCTGGAGCTGCTCCGGCGGGCCAGGCGCACGGCCACAGCCTGCTCTGGTGGCCTGGGCCAGAGCTGCAGCTGCTTCAGAGGCTGGGGGGAGAGCAGAATGGCCAGAAGCGGAGAGACTCTGGCCCCGCCTCTTCCCTTCTGGCCCTGCTCGCTGTGCTGCCTCTCCTTGCTCCCTCTGTTGGGGGGAGGGGCTGTGTCCCGCCTCTCCCTCTCTGTACCCGTTCATAAGCCGACCCCCTTCTCTGGTGCTTCCCTTTTTTTACTAAAAAAATTTGGCTTATGAACGAGTATATATGGTAATTGTAGGATCAAGCAGCTGGACTGGAAATAAACTAAATCCTCTTATCATTTATTTCTTTATAATGATATACAAAATTGTACACAAACATGCACTGATTTTGCCAGAAGATAAAGAAAAAATATTTTTATGGGCATATAAAAGTAGAACTTTAATTTCTTAAAACAGTAGGAATAATTCCAAGGGGGAACTTGCAAAGCTTATTACTTCCTGCTCATGCTCTAATAAAATGTACTTGCCCTAAACCTAGATATCTGGAATAACAATTTCCCAACCAAATACAACCCAAGTATGGTATTGCTCTTATTATACGAGAATACTTCTGTATTCAGGGTGGCACCTCTGCATTTAGCTAAAACAAATATTGGTACTGGCTCCAATTTCAAAAACTGTATTAATGACATTGGAAGATGCCCAAACTGGAAGAACATGAAGCCTGCATGAATCACAGGAAAGAACATGTGCTGTTCATAGATAATCCTAGGGTGGATTGTTTTAAATCAGTGATTTAAATCACTAAGCAGGAAACCTTGATTTAAACTATCATTTTTAATCATGTTTTCCATTTATCCTTTTTGGTTATTTTCCTAAAGGAAGGTTGAGTTTCATCATTGGTAACAATTAAAACAGGTTGGTTTGCAACTCTATATATCCTTTACATTAAATTTGGTGCTTCCTTTTGCTAACCAGGGGGCTACATTATATTTAGTCATATTTATTTAAGCAGTTATATTGCTTAACTTACATTTATGCAGATTCTTAATTTTTTACATTTTTATGTTAGAAAATGATGTATTATGCATTTCTTATTTACTAGATGGTTAATTTACTTGTGATTGGTGTACAGCTCTGTTTGGATGGAAATTCAAATTCAATTAAAATGCACAAAACCAGCATGTTTTTAGTAAAGAAAACTTAAATGTGCTGGAAACATAAGAAAAAAAGTTGTTTGAAACAACATGTTTTGAATTTAAAACTCATTTTATTAAGCAAAGGAAACGTTTTCTGTAGTTAGTAAATTAAACTTTCTGATCACCACATCCTTTAAGATTTTAGAATTAGTAGATCTCATCCTCTGACATCTACTTTTTATTCATAGATTAGAAGGGAAAACAAGCTTTCCTGCTTTTTCAGCTGCCAATTAGTCTCTTAACTTTGAATGACCTAGCCATTGAATTGAATAAACTGAAATGATAAAAGTATTTGCTCTCCATCTGCAGAAGAGGCTACTTCTCTGAAAAGACAATTTAGCATTTTCAACCAACTTTGGTTCCAGGTGCTCAGCCTGTGACTTCCATCAGTTTAGTTGTTTGACTTTCTTTAAAACTCGGCAGCAAAGATATACTAAATATTTTGTGTATTTAATTTAAATTATTTTAATAGATTCATAATGTTTAGCCCTTAACATGGGTTATCAGTTTCAGATTTAATTTTAAATAGGTTAATTTGTTTAAAAATAAACCTGTCTTTAATTTAAATAAATCAGATTTTAATTTAAAAAAATTGTCATTAAAAAATTGATAGGATCATCCGGGGGGATGATAAACTCTTGTTAAAACACATTTTTGAAGTGTGGCAAACAACTTTAAAGCTCAGACAGAGGATGTCGAGAACATGGACGAGCACAATTCCATGGGGGTGGATGCGCTGCATCCGAGGGTGCTAAAGGAGTTGGTGGATGTGATTGCAGAGCCATTGGCCATTATCTTTGAAAACTCATGGTGAGCGGGGGAGATCCCGGATGACTGGAAAAAGGCTAATGTAGTGCCCATCTTTAAAAAAGGGAAGGAGGAGGATCCGGGGAACTACACGCCAGTCAGCTTCACCTCAGTCCCTGGAAAAATCATGGAGCAGGTCCTCAAGGAATCAATTCTGAAGCACTTAGAGGAAAGCACTTAGAGAGGAAAGTGATCAGGAACAGTCAGCATGGATTCACCAAGGGCAAGTCATGCCTGACTAACCTAATTGCCTTCTGTGATGCGATAACTCCCTCTGTGGATGAGGGGAAAGCAGTGGACGTGTTATTCCTTGACTTTAGTAAAGCTTTTGATATGGTCTCCCACAATATTCTTGCCGGCAAGTTAAAGAAGTATGGGCTGGATGAATGGACTATAAGGTGGATAGAAAGCTGGCTAGATCGTCGGTCTCAATGGGTAATGATCAATGGCTCCATGTCTAGTTGGCAGCCGGTATTAAGTGGAGTGCCCCAAGGGTCAGTCCTGGGGCTGGTTTTGTTCAATATCATCATTAATGATCTAGAGGATGGTGTGGACTGCATCCTCAGCAACTTTGCAGATGACACTAAACTGGGAGGAGTGGTAGATACGCTGGAGGATAGGGATAAGATGCCGAGGGACCTAGACAAATTGGAGGATTGGGCCAAAAGAAATCTGATGAGGTTCAACAAGGACAAGTGCAGAGTCCTGCACTTAGGACGGAAGAATCCCATGCACTGCTACAGACTAGGGACCGAATGGTTAGGCAGCAGTTCTGCAGAAAAGGACCTAGGGGTTACAGTGGATGAGACGCTGGATATGAGTCAACAGTGTGCCCTTGTTGCCAAGAAGGCTAACGGCATTTTGGGCTGTATAAGTAAGGGCATTGCCAGCAGATTGAGGGACATGATCATTCCCCTCTATTCGACATTGGTGAGGACTCATCTGGAGAACTGTGTCCAGTTTTGGGTCCCATACTACAAGAAGGATGTGGAAAAATTGGAGTGAGTTCAGCGGAGGGCAACAAAAATGATTAGGGGTCTGGAGCACATGACTTATGAGGAGAGGCTGAGGGAACTGGGATTGTTTAGTCTGCAGAAGAGAAGAATGAGGAGGGATTTGATAGCTGCTTTCAACTACCTGAAAGGGGGTTCCAAAGAGGATGGATCTAGACTGTTCTCAGTGGTGCCAGATGACAAACAAGGAGTAATGGTCTCAAGTTGCAGTGAGGGAGGTAAGGTTGGATATTAGGAAAATCTTTTTCACAAGGAGAGTGGTGAAGCACTGGAATGGGTTACCTATGGAGGTGGTGGAATCTCCTTCCTTAGAGGTTTAAGGTCAGGCTTGACAAAGCCGTGGCTGGGATGATTTAGTTGGGGATTGGTCATGTTTTGAGCAGGGGGTTGGACTAGATGACCTCCTGAGGTCCCTTCCAACCCTGATATTCTATGAAGAGGAGGAATACGTTGAAGTTAGATTGTGCCTTGCTGATACAAAGAACAGAAAAGTTCTTTGGTCTTGGTTTTTGGAAACTGTCGGTCTGCAGACCGCTTCGGTTTCCAGTTAAGATTACTCAAATAACTGCTCCCATGCCAATCCTTGTTTTTTTTTTTTTGTTTTTAAAAAGTTCTGTTAAGGGTATCTTATGGAACACACACAACCATTATATTTCAATCAGCATTATATTATATTAATCATACTAACAGACTCTCCAACTCAGATGGAAATGGATGGAAATTTTCTAGCATACAAAGCCACACAATACACAAGCTAACCTCCTTTAACTCATGTTGTAATGCTGAACTTTAATGCCATCTTCAGTCAAATATAGAAGCATGGGCACTGGTTAGGTATGTGGTTTGGTACGTAAGAACGGCCATATTGGGTCAGACCAAAGATTCATCTAGCTCAGTGTTTTGTCTTCCAACAGTGACCAATGCCAGGTGC